CCGTGTGACTTCTTCCTCTTCCCCAAGATGAAAATTCAGCTAAAGGGAAGGCGATTTGAGACGATAGAAGAGATTCAGGGAGAATCGCAGATGGTGCTTGACAGGCTGACAAAGAAAGGTTTCCAGGGATGCTTCCAGGCTTGGCAGCGGCGCTGGGATCGTTGTGTTCACTCCCAGGGGAACTACTTCGAGGGTGATGGATGAATTTAATACCTGAGATAAGTGTACGGGTTTTTATAGGCGCAGTCTTGAAACTTTCCGATCGCACCTCGTATAAAGAAAATTAAGGATGATCTACAAAAATATAGACTCTTCTTTGTAATTAAAATAGCCTCCCCCCTCCCAAAATATTTTATTTGTTCATTTCAGCCATGAAATACAAGCACAGATTATCGTACTGCAAAATTGAGACAGAATGCCTTTTTTCCAGCATGATTAACATGATCTCTCCGAACCTGGCAACCACCTACAGAACTGCATGTTGTTAAAGTGCAGAAGAATACAATCGATAATTTACCGTTGTGAAAAACTGCACTTCTAGCCACAGGCTCTTATGGACCGTGAGTGGAAACACGAGCTCCCTAAGATGCAAATCGAGTGGCTCTTGGACATCTACCTCACTCTTTACGAGGTGCAGCCAGCATCGAATTAACTAATTAGATGGCTTATGGAACACGAAAGTTCATCACCGAATTAACCAAAGCCCTCCACCGGAACCTGTCCTGGGCCACCACATCCAGTCTCCTTCAACTCCTATCTCCCATAGATCCCGCCTGACATTATCCTCCCATCTACGTCTAGGTCCTCCCAGCGGTCTCTTCCCTTCAGGCTTCCCGACCAATACCCGGTGCACACCTCTTGTCCCATCCATGCGTGCTACATACACTACGTAGTCTATTATGAATTGTATAATATTGTATTCAGCTGGTATTTTATTTGATATTAATGTTAAAAAGCATCAGAGTGTACATGGCAATAGCCAATGTAAAGTGAGTAAATGTTATATTTATGTAAATGTGACGTGTTTCTGTAAAAGGCTGTGTTAATATTTTATTCTACTTGAGTGTTTTTGTACGACTTCTTATCTAAAGTTATCCTGACTTACCCATTCTTATCACAGAAACTTTATAGTCGTTTTCTTAATGTATTTTAAATTGTGTAAGAATATTTTCTTTTTACATGTTTTTCGCGCGGGTCATTATTTATCCTATTATGTTAAGTAAGAGTAAGAAATATATGTACTGATCAAAACATTCATTAAGTGTTGTGTGATATTTAACAGCTCCTGTAATATATGTAGTGTTCTTCATTTTGAATTCCATGTGTACTTATTCCACAGTAAATGTCTTATTTTTAAACAAGATTAGCACAGTTTTATTTCTTGAGGCGTGGAACAGGGTCCTGAATGGAAAGCTGATAGTTATTCAGCTGATCAAGAAGTATAAGTGCAATATGAAATATTACATATACACATATAACTAATTAACTAAAATGTAATTCTGCCGCTTAAAATAATTATGCAAGTTACAAGTCGTACATGAATCTCGCTGAATGTAATTATTAGCGGAAATGTAATAATTCCCCGGAATTTAAAACATCTGCTTACCACTTTAGCTTCTCGAAATAATATTATCCCCTGAATTTATTATTACTTTAGTGCAGAGTTTGAAAATTAGTATTGCAGAGCCATAACAAAAAAGTAGGATTTGAGGCCTTATGGTTCATGTAAAATTGATAGTTTCTTTATCAATTAAACTACGATCATCTGAAGAAAGTCTGACTAACGTGCGTGATGTGTTATCACATTGAATCACATGAATAACTGTGGTCTGTTGAGGAAAATTCCATGTCCAAATCATAAGTAAAAAAGATGAACCCATTTCGTGGGTTTCAGAATCACCGGGAGATGATAGAGTTTATTTATTTTAAATCATAATCCGATCTTGGTGATAAAGACAGTATATTTTGCTTGAGAATCTAATGTTTTATGGGTGAACTGCAGTTTTCAAATTTTCTTTGCGTGTTACATTAGGGCCCGCTGATGTTTTTATGTCGTCAGCATACTCTGTTTCACATAATATCAGGAAACACTTTTTATTAATGTCATTAGTATTTTGTAGCACCTGTGCAGCTTAAAAAAGACCGTCAGATAAAGAAATATAATGCGTCCTACCGAAGTGACAGAAATTAAACCTGACACGAAAGTTTACTCAACTAAAAGCACTGTAAAATATCTCAGTAATGACTGATTTTATTAATCAGTATTATTGAGTAGGCCTGATATGTGAACCTGTTCGCGAACGTTTCTTTGAATATTTTTAATAAATTGATTTTAATTTTCCAAAAACTGTCCCCATTCGACTCATAAATCGATAGGCAAGGACGACTGAGAACCCCTGAGCTACAACCAAAAGTAGAAATGACAAAGGAATGTTGCAATACAACAAGCGCACACAGAACCTTCTTGATGCTAGTGGGCGATGAATTGGGCAGGCCTACTCCGAACCCAGTTAATTCTCACGTGAGCAACGAGATCGTATTTTGTTTCGTGTGTAGTTACAACAACAGCCGCTATGGCAAACCAGTGCATTCATCAACAAGTCACAGTGGAAGTTACGTTCGGAAACTGCAGATATCACCAGCCTCGTGTTTTAGGGGTAAGTTTGTATAGTTTTCATGTGCATTAGGATATTTTCTGGTTATAACTGTAAATTTATGCAGTCATGTGCGTTAGGTACAGTAAACTTTATGGTGGACATTCAAAGGCTTGCAACCTGCATCTGATATTTTCCGTTTTCAGTCTTATAGAGCGCATGTTCATTCAAATGAGGTGGTCAATGTTGTTATTTAATATAAAAATAAGTGACGCACGTAGTAAATAAGATTCTGTGCAAAGAGGGTACGAAACACATAGACCGGATTGATTATTCAGTTACGTGTAAAAATGCCTAGCAATTCGTGCTGATGAATGCGATCAGATAAAAACCTGTAAGGAGCTTTATAACGTGTCCTCATCACCAAATACTAAGCCAATCAGATCAAGAATTATGAGATGGGAGAGACACGTGAGAAA